GATCTGCACACTTACATGCTCTGTCCCAATCTTCTTTAGGATTTTTGTACAGTTTTCTGTTTATAGAGATCACTATAAGGTCCTTGGATCTTGAGTTATACAAGTACATAGTATAGCTATAGATGCTTTCATTTCTAGGAGCAGCTATATAATTTGATAATGTGTAAGAGCTATTGTTAATTTTGCCTGGCAATAAATCCTATCTATTGTATTTGTGTGTGTGGAGGATTATTGCAGGAAATGAAGAAATTTTTTTTCAGTAATCTTGAAGTGTTAGTTACAGATTGAGAGATAGCATTGTTTTCACTTTGAATAATTTTAATAAACCAACATATCCAATGATCTATTAATAGTAGAAATAGTTAATGCTACCCTTGGGAGAAATTTTGTTTCCTTTCAGGGTTCAGAGGAAGAACAGGGAATACGTGGTGTTGGTGTCTCCCAAAAAGGTAAGTCATTGGGCAGATTTTGAATAGTTTTCCTGCTAGGTTTTGGCCATGGTTCTTTAAATGACACTTGTGTTTGCAGTGTTATCTCTAGGTTTCTTATCTATAGGGGACAGAGACTATTATAACTGGTTTACCTAAAAGCTCATAAGCATATTTTTTTAGATAGATTAATTACTTTTTATGTCATCTGGAAATGTCTTGTCAAATATCATATAATTTTTAAAATGACTATTTTAGCTTTTAATTTTTTCTTCACTAATTTAGCCTCAGCCCACATGCAGAAGAGAACCTGTTCTGGAGTCAACTCTAGAACCATTGGAAGCTCCCTTAAATTTACTTTTAATCTTTATTTAGTTTAAAATTTTGAATATTTGTGAAAGGAAAAACCTCTGAAAATGTCTTATGCAATGCTGTCTTCTAATCTACAGAATATCTCAAAGTTGATGGGATTTTTAAACTTTAACAAGAGTTTGGGGGCTGGGGGTTTAGCTCAGAGGCATAAGCACCTGCTTTGCAAGCAGGCGGTCGTGAGTTCGATCCCCGATACCAATAAAAATGAAAAAGACAAAAAAAAAAAAAAAAAAAAAAAAAAAAAACAAGAGTTTGATCCCTGATAAATAATTTTAACACCGATGGGTTATTCATATCCTCTCTCTCCTCACTAGTTTTGAACAATTAATTTCATTAACTGAAACATAACTGTAGTGTAGGACACCATAAATATAAATATTGAATTCAAATGCACCTATTTTGTCCTCTACCCCCAAAGTTTAGCAAAATCATTAAATATAGCTGTTAATCCGAGTTTAGAACAACTTTTTAATTCAAATTTTACACATCTGACTTAGAGTCCATAAATGTTAGTATTCTTTTCTAATGAAACTTCTAAGGACAGAGAAGTTCATTTGGATAGTCAGGCATGAGAAATGGAAACAGTAATTTTTCGGAGGTTACAGAAGCTGGTTAAATGCTACATTTGAATTTCATATGTTTTGCAACCTGGGTATGTCAATTAAAAAAGCTGAGTATTGACTATTTGATATTTTATCTCCTAATTTGTGTAGAATATCTCTTAAGTATTTTAATATATTTATTTTGTTGTATCAAAAGTCCACTTAATGGACATTGTTATTCTAAATCTGTCAATCCAGACACCTGCCATCTTCTGTGGTTCATGTATCTAGTGTTTATTAGAGAAACAAAAAGATTTAGGGTTAGGCCAGGTGTGTAGACACACACACGCAATCCTAGCACAAACTCTTCTAGGAAGAGGAAGAGACTCAGATAGACAAAACCCTGACATATGAAAGAATAAAGCCAGTTATTTATGAACAATGGCTTAGATTCCCAAAAGAAAACAATTGTATTTCTGGGTGTGGTGATGCATGCCTGTAATTCTAGGACTAGGGAGGCAGAGGCAGGAGGATTGTTGTGAAGTTCAGAACAGCCTGGGCTGCAAAGTGATTTCTTAACCAGACTGAACTGCATAGTTGAGACCCTGTCTCAAAAAGACAAAAAAAGAAAAAAAAAAAAAAAGATTACAGGAAGACACTACAAAATCACTTAACAAAGTGATATTTCACAATTTTATATTATAAGTAACTCACAAAGATTTTCTAAAGGACCTGAGAGTGATCACCTTTTATAAACTGGTCACCTTTTCAACAGATCTCTCTCCAAACAATGGTACTCTTGGCCACTTTGGACAGGACACTTCCCAGGCCCGTGCCTCCTTCTCATGTCCATGATCCCCAATGAACAGAAAAAGACAGTACAAATCAAAACCAACTCAAACCTGAAAATCCACACAGAATAAGATGTACTTGTAGGTAAACAGAAGTGCATGCACACACACAGACAAATACACAAAAAGATCAGAGAAATCTTCAGATATGGATAGTCAGGCATACTGACTATTTTAAAATAGTATTTTAAAAAATACTATTTAGAAAGTTGTGTGTAACTGAAGCAAAATGTTTGTTGACTTTATAAAAAATATGTCTGTTAGTAATTGGAGCAACTCAAAATCAACAATTGTAATACTTAACTATAAAAATAGCTTAATTACATGGAGACTTCAATTTAAAGACTTTACACAAAGACAAACACAATTACGAATCCTAGGATAACTAAATACATCAGCAAGAAGAGTTCAGCAAAACTAGCCAGAGCTGACACACTATTGAGACTGCCTCAAGTGTAGTGCATGTGATGGACAGAGTTTGGGTGTGAGGAGCCCAGGGAGCTTGTTGGTCACAGAATCCCCAGAGATATTATAAGATGAAGGTTTTCAAATGATCTTGATGAAATCTCTAGAAATCTGAAAGATGAATATAAGTACAATCAGCCTGCCATATCCACTGATTACATATCTGTGGGTTCAAAAAACCATGGATGAGAAATAATAAGGAAAATGCTTTATTTTTGAAAATCTATACTATGTAGTTAGAACTATGATGGCTGTGTCTTACGCAACACCTAGAGACTTTTGTCTTGTCATTATTTTCCTAAACAACGTCATGCAACAACTATTTGCATTGCATTAGATAGCACAGGTAATCTACAGGTGATTTAAAACATTCAAAAAGATGTGGGTAGTTTATATGCAGATGCTATGCTATCTCATAGAAGGGACTAAGCATCTGAAAATTTGGGGACCAGTGTCAATCAGGTATTGGGGCCAGTTTCCTATGGATACTGAGGGACAGCTGTGTGTGTAATTAAATAAAAAATAAAAATGCGATATAAAATCTGAATTCATTGCTTACTATCACTTGCAACGCCTGTGATCCACAAATTTTCTCTGAGCAGAAGAGACTGTTGCTCTTGTATGAGCTTTTCTGAGGGCAAGAGTTAAGGATTGTTATATTTTCAGAGCATGAGCTGGTTGACATCATCTGTGGAACTGTGATACTCAGTGAGACTATTCTTGGCTGGCTGGCTCTTATGACTTGTGTTTAGATGCCTCCCCCAAAGCCTCATGTAGTCTTAAGTAGGGCTTTTTCAAATGTAGCTGAATGTAAGATGTGTAACTGATTCATGTGGAGCTAGGATTGAGTGCTAGGGTTAAGAATGGGTGATTACTAAATCAGTCCACTGATTGGTTTGGCACCACCTTAATCCCCATAGCCTGTGCATATATATATATAAGGGACAGAAAGAAGCTCGTCTTCCCCCTTATACTTTGCCACCTTCTGCCTTCCACTAATGTTTCTTCTCTGGGAGGCTTGTCCACCCTGCCACCCTTCCTTGGATCCAGCCGATGGTGCACTGAAAACCTCTACAGACTGTGAGCCAAATAAGCCCTTTCCCCTTTAACTTTGGTGTTGGGTATTTTATCTCGGCAACAAAAGAAAAGTAACTAAGACACTGGCACTCATTAACTGAAGTGAGTTTATATGGCTGATTGGTCATCAGATGTGAAGGCTACACTTACTGGTTGACATGCAGAAACATGCTTCCGAGAGGGATTAGGGTTGGCTGACTGCACCGGCCTAAAACCCATTCTGTCTCTTAGTTCATTGAAAAGCAAGAGTTATGCTAATATCAGCTAAAGTATTTTTTTATGTCTATATCTTGTGCTCTGAATAACTACTTTGAAGATGACAATATACAATGTATTAACTATTGTTATTCCTCTATTATTTTGTTATGAAATTCTGTTTACTTTTTTCAATAAAAATTAAAAAATCCATTCTAGTAGTTCCTTACTGTTAGAGCTATAGAACAATGAAGTTTTTTTTATTTTTTTCTAAGTTTATGGAAATACTTCCCTCTCACGATTTGGGAAACACTGGCTCAGATCAAACACAAAATCCTGTGAAGGGGTTGTCTCCAGAGCCTGAAAATTTTTTCTCTTACTCTGAAGTACAAAACAGATTTCATTTGACATCTGGGGGGAAATAGAAATGAGGTGTTTAGGGACACATTTCTGGTCTCCTTTCTAGAGATGAGTGAAGAGAGAGTTTCTTCTTCTCTGCTTTTTGAAACCTCTATTTGCTTCTACTGAGACTTCTGTTTACAACTCCAAGGTCTGCACAGCCCAGAAACAGATCAGACACGACAAAAGAAATTTTAAGTATAATATAGAAATATGTTGTGAGCAGGAAAATACACATTCTTCCACAAAAGGAAAATCAAAATTATGTTCAAAATACTCTGCTGACCAAAAATCTACACATCTAAGAACTGTATTTGCTTCTGTAAAATGGCCATATAACTTATTTCTTAGTATTTTGTTCTATTAAATTATGACCACTTAACCTACACTGGAAAGGCAGGTCACTTTCCTTCTTCCTTTCTCTTAAGATGTAGAACTAAATTTCATATAGAAAGTGCCATTTATGTATAATGCTCGTATTGAAAGAAAAGACTACTTTTAGGTTCAACTACATCTCCTATTAGGCCTTTATGAGACGAGGTTTGGGGAGATCTGTGACTGCCCAGCGAGGCGATGGAGTGGGTATAGCTTTGCCTCTGGTAACTGGAGGCACCATTATCACTGCTTTGCAAGAATCTCAGATTCATGCTGAATGCTTTTTCTCGTCACAGGCTGTGAACCCATTCCCGTGCGCTATCTCGAATGGAGCAACATAGAATCGATCATCGCCATTGTCTTTTCTTGCCTGGGCATCCTGGTCACCCTGTTTGTCACACTCATCTTTGTGCTATACCGGGACACACCCGTGGTGAAGTCCTCCAGTCGAGAACTCTGCTACATCATCCTCGCGGGCATCTTCCTCGGGTACGTGTGCCCTTTCACTCTCATCGCCAAGCCTACGACCACGTCTTGCTACCTCCAGCGGCTGCTCGTTGGCCTGTCCTCCGCCATGTGCTACTCGGCGTTGGTGACCAAGACCAATCGCATCGCGCGCATCCTGGCGGGCAGTAAGAAGAAAATCTGCACCCGGAAACCCCGGTTCATGAGCGCCTGGGCCCAGGTGATCATCGCGTCCATTCTGATCAGTGTGCAGCTGACCCTGGTAGTCACCTTGATCATCATGGAGCCCCCCATGCCCATTCTGTCCTACCCAAGTATCAAGGAAGTCTATCTCATCTGCAACACCAGCAACTTGGGTGTGGTGGCCCCTCTGGGCTACAATGGACTCCTCATTATGAGCTGTACCTACTATGCCTTCAAGACCCGCAACGTGCCCGCCAACTTCAACGAGGCCAAATATATTGCCTTCACCATGTACACCACCTGCATCATCTGGCTTGCTTTTGTGCCCATTTACTTTGGGAGCAACTACAAGATCATCACTACTTGCTTCGCAGTGAGCCTGAGTGTAACAGTGGCCCTGGGGTGCATGTTCACCCCCAAGATGTACATCATCATTGCCAAGCCCGAGCGGAACGTGCGCAGTGCCTTCACCACCTCCGACGTCGTCCGCATGCACGTGGGCGACGGCAAGCTGCCCTGCCGCTCCAACACGTTCCTCAACATCTTCCGGAGGAAGAAGCCGGGCGCGGGCAGTGCCAAGTGAGTCATCCGGCCCGGGCCGGTCCTTCTTCCCATTCCCTCCCTCCCTCCCTCCCTCCCTCCCTTCCACTCTCTTCTCCCTCCCCTCATCCTCTTCCTCCATAGCCTTCTCCTCCTCTTCCTCCCATTCCTCCTCCCTTTCCTCTTTTTCCCCGCTTTCTCTTATTCCTTTCCTTGTCGTCTCCTATTTGTTAAATTACTTTACCTCTGCTACCTCGAAGCTTTTTTCTTCCTTTCTTAATTCTCCCTTTCTTTTTCAAATCTCATGTCATATTGCAGTAGGAGAGTAGAACCACACACAGGTCCTCTTTGCTTTCTCCCGATGAAAGAGCAAGGAACCTGGAGCCACAGTGAGCTGTGTATATTTTTATTTTGTCTAGATGCTCAAACTTGTTTCTGCAGGTCTTTTTTTTTAATGTCCATTTCTGTGGGTCCTTGCACTAAAGGTGATGAATCCACCTTTGGGGTCCAGGTCAAGGATGCAAACACTCTCAAATTCATAGTTTAGACCCGAGTTGAAAATAGCTTCTGGTTTATGTCCATCGCCCTGGAATCACACCGTTGCTAATCGGGAGTAGAGGGCAGGAAATGCAGCACCTGGTGAAACTGCAGCTCCAAATCGGGCTGCAGCTGTGCAGCAAGCCTGTCCCAGATCAGGCCTCTTAAGTACGTTATCAGCGCTCTCTTATCTATTAGCTTTAATTGCTTCTGTAGTGAAGATGTTCTGCAGAATCCCTACCACTAGGTCATGTTTTAAATGGTTTCTTAGTCAAAAAGTACCAAGAAAAATAAGGAGCTGGCAAAATGATGAACCCCAAACTTAAGAGTCAGGGTAAGCATTAATGTCGAGGCGATTTATATTCTGATAATTCTTCTGACTTGGTCACACTTTCCTGTTTTTTCTCTATTATGCCTTATGACAAAGAATGAGTTAAAATTTTGCATGTTGCCATATTGCTAAGACCCAAGAAAATAAATTTTTTGTAATATCATAATTTTTAAATAACATGGATACTTTGAAGTTCTAAAGGTGATCGAACTATTCAAAAGTTTCAACAGTAAGATTAATTTTACTGTTTGAAACAATCTTTTAAAAGTGGAAAGCGTTAAGCACAATTATGATATGAACATTATGTGACTGTGTGTGTGTGTGTGTGTGTTTATGTGTGTGCATGTGTGTGTGTACCCGGAGGTCAAACACTTAGGCAGAGCAAGCACTCTACCACAGAGCCACATCCTCAGCTCATATATATAATTTTATAACTATTGAATCCACCTGAACCAGAAAGGTAAGGAGAATTGTTGATATTTTCCTGTACTTTGTAGGTAAAGAAATTAAGCTGCTGTAAAGTTTTGTAACTTTTAAATTTAATTCCTGTTAACCATTCTTTCCCTAGGTCTTAAACTGCTATGAACTATTTTCTAGTATATGTCCAAAAATCTTATGTGCCTTAAAATCCTGGGTTTTGTTTCTGTATGTGCCAAGCAGAAACACTGGCATGTTTTGTTTTTTTTTTTTTTTTTTTACAGAAAATATAATTTGTGGGTTGGATAAATCTTTGGGAAAACATATCTTTGAAATCTGTAAAGTGATTATTCAAGCAAAGGCATGCCTAGGCTTTATCTGAGTAAGTCAATAATTGAGGATTCCTTTTGTTGTATCGATTTCAAGTTCTTCAGAGGATGCTGACCATAAAGTTGCTTGCCATGGTTTTTCATTCTAGCTGATGTACCCTCCTGGCAGGGAGCTAACAGTGAGCAGAAAAGCAAAAAGCTTTTTCCATAAAATGAAACAGACATTTTGGCTCTTACTTACACTTTGGTTTTTCATACCAGAGAGACAACGTGGTATTTATACATGTGTATCTTATTTATTTCACTTAAGAGTATGATCTCAAGATGCATCCCCTTGGACCAAAATGTGTAATAGGTATTGTGAAACAGGAAGAAAATGTTCAAATGGGAAGGGGAGGAGAAAAGGAAGGATGGGAAAAGAGAAGAATGAGAAAAGATATTAAAAATGGAAATGAAGCTTGTAAATAATGAGGGGAAGAGTAGTTGAAGGAGTGTAGGGGAATGGAAAAAAGAATCAAGTTATATCATGCACTGATACAAATTCTCTATGATGACTGTGATCTTTTTGCATACCTAAAATTAATAAACTTAACTAACAAATTTAATTAATAAAACATTAACAAACAGTAGTCCTTGAGCCTCAGCCTCGCAGTAAAATAGGGTCATGGCTATTTTCATTCAGAGTAAAGGAATGAGAGAAGACAAAATGAAATGAAGGAAGATGCCTTTGGAACTGAAAGGTCCTAGGCAGTCGGTATCCCGTCTGTGGGATCACATGTGGGGCCTCCACCATCCTCCAGCATCTACCACCACGTCTCTAATGTTCCGTCTTTATTTTGGTTCTTCAGAAACTTCCATATGCTGCAGGTCATCAGCCGTTCCTGAAAGTTTTTCTTTTGAGAATGTAAAGAATTATGCTATATTGTGTTGGTACTCAAAACTATGAATGTTGGAAAGATCGCCCAGTGGTTTTGCATACAGATGGACATGGTCATCTGTCTAGAGAACTATGACTCCTGCGTCGTCCACAGTGCATAAGCTGAGATGACATGGGCTCACTTGACATTATGCTAATGATGTTTTTCGCTTCCCAAGAATCCAGACATTATTGTACATCTTCACCTCCACCTTCCCACATATGAAATGCTTTCTTTATAATCTGAGAAAATCCCCTAGACTGTTTTCAATTTAGAAATTAATTTCATTTGGGATCTCACGTTTGAAAGAAAAATCAACTTAATTTAAATTAACTGGATCGGTTGTCTTAAAAGTTCTGGCTTCACCAGTAAATTGTTTTAACTATTAACTGTAATTTAACATTATCTGATTATTATGCTAGAAATCTAATTCTAATTGATAATTATAGCACAACATTTACAATACAATTTGTAGCTTTTCCAATATGCTCCACATCTGAGCTCACCCAGAGAGGGCGTGGGGGCTAAATTTCTGCAGAAAACAATAATTTGTTTACTTATTCTTCTCATTATTCTGCTCTTGGTACTTTTGTGCCTCTCTCTGAGACTTTAACTTTAAAATATTACAACAATCTTAATGCCTACTTTTTTTACCTTTTTATTGCCATTTTATGCTTTCTTGGTTTATTCCAAAAGTTGCAAAACCCCCCAACAATCTAGTATTTCCTGCTGCAATAAAAATCTAGCAGAGTTATGCCAACTGAAGTAAGGGATTGAAAACACTAGAGAATGCATCACCCGATGAGTTTATTACCACTCTGAATATGTAGTTTTCTACATTTATGGTGCATACAGGGTTTTCAGTAGTCTGCATATGTAGCTATAAACACAGAGCAGATGCTACAGCATAAAGCTTCCAACTGATGTATCTGTTGGAATATTGTTCTGAGGAGTTGCAAGTTCAACAATATTCTCATAACAGACTTTCTGAGATGCACAGGAGGGATGATGTTGCATGTTTGTTTTTGCAAAGTTTATTTGAATTTTTTATTTTAATCATAACCAAATACCTTTCACAATCAAATGTTTGGCCACTTCCTCTACATTTTCTTTTAAAGAATTAGGAAGAATTTAATCAATAAATTCAGTATTTGAGTTACCTAAGTTATTGAGACTCATAACTCATTTTAGATAACATCCAACCCTAAAACACTGTCTGAAGTCTAATTACCTTGACAGCTCCAATTTGCTTTTTTTAAAAATTCACTTGAATGAGAAAATATTTACATTTAAATTAATCAAAAATTATCAGAAATTATCTCTGTTTGGAGGAATGGAACAAATATAGAAATCTTTGGATATACATAAAGAAATGAATTATTTATATCTAAATTATCTTGTGCTTCTTTCAGGGCAAAATGACTTAATGTTATTTGAGTGAAGAAATTAAAATATTATATCATTGACATGCTTCTCTAAAAACTAATTACATAAGTGGCTCAATGGAAAGCTAACATTTCTACTTCTTTTCTAGATAAATAAACACATTGGGGGCCAAATAATTTGATGCCTCATCAAATGTTCCACAAGGAACAGAAATGTGAATATACATTTTGGCTTTTTGCATATGATAATGTTTTTACTTTTGTGTACAAAGCTAAAAACAATCATAACTCAAACAAAGTGAGAGTGTGATATGAGAAAGTAATTTTAAAATTCAGGTGAATAGAATATTACTATGTTTCTACAATGTTTCTTAAACATTTGAAAATATTTCTGTCGAGCCCAAGAACTAAACGAGATATGGACTCTGAGGAAATTTTCCTCTCAAGTCTCTTCTAGAAAGATCTTTTGGCAGGTAAAAGCAAATAAGTCTGCAGACTTGGTTTTTATGCCTAGGGAAGCATTTTGATTGGTGTTTCTTCCTTTGATTATGGAGGGAAGCCTAAGAGTAAGTCAATCAAATCTCACAATGAAATTAGCAGTAGCTAATGAGTTCCTCACAGGAACTCATTTACTGTTCTGATTGGTAAATAAGAAAATTTGTCTATTTGAAATTATTTTCCCTTAGTCATATAATATATGGCATTAAAAGTTATTGTAATCATTCATTTGATTTTATAATAAACATCAGATTTTGTTGAGTTCTTTTCCATAAACCTTTATCATTTGAGAGAAATATTTATTGAGAATCTAATGTTATGGTCAGTAGCTTAAGTTTAAATAGTTTTTCTATAAAAACAGGTACACAAATACCTGTGGAGTTTGATAATCCTATTATGTAAGATTTAGAGTTGAACACTTAAAATTTAAATTTTTAATAGGTAATATATAAGCCCTCAATTACAGTAGTGGAATGAAAGTTGAACCCAAGACATGTAGATGAAAACATTTTCTGTTTGATATGTTAGAATTAGAATAGTAGTTATGGAACCTGAAAGAAAGGAGAAAAACAGGATATGACTCACATGATTTGAATCTCAGTGATAAAAAATACAATTCCTACAA